AAGAAATGGAGAAGGATGAATGCCAAGTTGCAAGAAATTTTAGTATCTACCAGTGACTCAGAGGAGGATCAGCGTTTTAATCCTGAAGTTGGCCTGTGTACGACAAACAGCAGCAATCAAAGAGAAGATTTTGGTGATGCAGAGTGTTCCACAGCCACTGAGACTGAAGACATGTGTGACCTGGAAGGCCACAGCAGCAGCGAAAGTTGTTTAACAGAAACAGACATCTTACCAGTAGAATCCTGTGATTTAAGAAATGATTTGGCCAAGCGGGCTGTTCGCAATAAGGCAACACGAGCATCTGTTGATGAGCTCCTCGTTGTCTTACGAAAACGTGGACATTCCCTGCCTATAGATGCAAGAACACTATTTGCATAATATGATTTCACAACCACGGCTGAAATGAGCGGCTCAGACGAGGAGCCATTCACAATACCCGGGAAGAGGGTGCCAAAGGAGAAGGTCTATCCAGACTATCAAATGGGTATGCATAATACTATAAAGTCCCATTCCAGGAATTGTTCGTATTTACCTGTGTCCCCATTCATTATGTATTTGTCGATATTGGAATATGCATGTCGTTATCTATTCTTCTAACAAAACAAACACCATCATCATTTCTGTGTTTTGTGATATATTGCAGATGACATTCCTGACAATGCTGCAGATAGAATTGAAGCTGTTCCTGAACTACAGACTTATACAAATGGAGGTATGTAATAGGTATTTCACAAAATTTGAGTGAATAGTCTAAGTGGACACCCTGAAATTGCCTATCGCTTTTGTTATTGTGGTATTTATAATCAATCATGCCTATTCCATCACAGATGATTTCCCTCCTCTTTCCTGTGTACCCAACAAGTTAAATATTGTACAATCTGGTAAGTGATCATGTTAAACATTTTATTTTTGTGTTACTGTTCTGCATATTTAAATACGGTTCATGAAAGTTTGGCGGAGCTTTGCTTACTTTGCCTTTCCTGTAGGCAAAATTGGATTAGATGAAAGGTACGAACGAAGCCAAAGAAAGTCCCTCTCTGGCAGCCAACAGAAAACTCCCAGCCACTCCTGCTCTCAAAGCCGACGACCATTAAGCCCCAGCCGCTCTCGCTCTCGAAGCCGACGACCAAGCCCCAGCTACTCCCGAAGCCGACAACAACCAACTCCCAAGCCTCTCCCGCCATCGAAGCAGACATCCAAGCCCCAACCACTTCCTCTCTCACAGCCAACAACCAAGCCCCAGCCACTCCAGCTCTCGCGGTTCCTCTAACTCTTCCAACGTCTCTTTGTCAGAAGAAAGTAAGTTTAATGTTACAAGTCTTCATTTTAATGATTCTAATGAGGGACGGTCATTCCAAGCTACAATACTATTAGATAACAGGTGTGCTCCTTCCCCTGTTACCTAGAATTCCAGAAGAAAGTACTTCAGCTGCTCATTGAAATACGTGATTCTGGAAGAACGAATCTCGGAACGACACATGGCACAACAGTGCAATTCAAGCCCGCAGACACCCAGATGGATTTCGGGGAACTGGAGTAGTCTCAAAAACGAGCAAGAAAGGGCAGCCTTTGTAAGCTTCAACTGATTCGTGTTTTTGCATGCTGCCCTAAGTGTTTATGATGTTTTTTTCAAGTACTGTCTTTTTTTTTCCTCTTTCAGCTTTCCCATTTCAAAAGACTGGGGGGCATTGATGCCGTGGACATGGTAAAAAAAAAATCCATGACAGCGTATGTATCTAAATTCATGTGCTTTACATGAAGTACATTTTCATAATTGCTAAATATTTGTAGCCCTTGCAGAGCTATCAGGTAATTGTCTAACTAAAATGTTACACTGTCCATTTTTGTTTACAGGACACTGACAAATTCAATGATGGCACAAATGAGCCTGAAGGGGAGGACTGGGAAAATAGCCTTTTCTGAGTCTTTGCTCTTCCAAATCATCTGTGGTAAGCGTATAACCGTTACTGAAAACAGAAGCAGAAGTATAACATTTTGTGATAATTCAAGAAATACTACACATTACGTTTCCTCAAGGATTTGGTTCTGATCAGTGATTGGTTACCCTCTTTGCATGCCCCATCTATTTTGGTGTGGAGTGAATATCAGTTGCTGTTGGAAGGAATTTTCTCATGCTGATGAACAGCAGACATGATGATGGTCTCTGTTGTTTCCTCTGTAGATGCTGTTGTCACCACACACCAGACGACCCAGACACAAGCAACGGAGATTGTGTCTAAATATTTGAAATATGCACCAGAGAGAGTGGGTGGTGGCGGCTGAAAAAATCAAAAAAACATTCCTCCCTTGAGTGACTAGTTCTGTTTTTATTTTTAAAAACATTTTTTTCACCTTTATTTTTTTATTGCTATTTCAATTGAATTGTTATTCCTTGTTGTTATAAATAAAGTTTGTTTTCTTTTAATTGACTATTTCTTTATTCGCCTGATAAATTAAATGGTAAACGGCCTGTATTTGATATAGCGCCTTCTAGAGTCCTGGAACCCCCCAAGGCGCTTTACAACACAATCAGCCATTCACCCATTCACACACACACATTCACACACTGGTGGGGATGAACTACAATGTAGCCACAGCTGCCCTGGGGCGCACTGACAGAGGCGAGCCTGCCGAGCACTGGCGCCACCGGTCCCTCCGACGACCACCAGCAGGCAACGTGGGTTAAGTGTCTTGCCCAAGGACACAACAACAGCGACAGACTGATGGCATTTATTCTGTGTCAATCAATATTGCACACAGCTATGATGGATACAGTAAATCATGTAAAAATGTAGAAGCTAGTTGGCTATGGTGGTGAATGTTGAAATTGTTTTGGAAAATCAACATTAATTGAACATTGAAAAGGCGTTGTGATATCAACGTTGAATCAATGCTGGATTTGGTTTTGATTTTGAAAGGTGAATCAACATTGATATCCCGTCGTTCCAACGTCGGAATATCAACGTTGATTCACCTTTCAAAATCAAAACCAAATCCAGCGGTGATTCAACCATGGTCCATGACGTAAATCATGTAAAAATGTAGAAGCTAGTTGGCTATGGTGGTGAATGTTGAAATTGTTTTGGAAAATCAACATTAATTGAACATTGAAAAGGCGTTGTGATATCAACGTTGAATCAATGCTGGATTTGGTTTTGATTTTGAAAGGTGAATCAACATTGATATCCCGTCGTTCCAACGTCGGAATATCAACGTTGATTCACCTTTCAAAATCAAAACCAAATCCAGCGGTGATTCAACCATGGTCCATGACGTTGATTCAACCTTGAATCACTGTGCCCGCTGGGTTAATACGGCTGCCACACACACATGGGCAGAGATCTGATTAGGAGTACCTGGGTGCAGTTTGACACTGTAACAGCATATGCAGCTCCAGTCTGCGATCACACGATACAAAACAAATTAAGACGGAGCAACGAGCATTAGCTAATGCCGCACAAGCAACACAGGAGGGAGAGTACTTATAATCGCAGCTTGTAGTTGGAGTCTCAACACACACTAGCACCTGATTGCCACACAAGAGCTGTCCTGCTGGAGGAGCAGGCAGCTGCCTTTTACTGGATGGCTCACCCCGCCCTGCTATCCGTCCAATGTGAGCCGCCTGCCTTTTTACGGAGAAGGGACCAGACCGGATCTATCTGTCCCATCACATTCATAACTAACTTTTACGTATTTAACATATCAACAAATGACATCAAAGGATGCAAGCTCCAAATACAGAGCCCATTCAGTGTAATTATGGTAAATGGCCTTTATTTGATAAAGCGCCTTCTAGAGTCCTGGAACCCCTCAAGGTGCTTTACAACACAATCAGTCATTCACCCATTCACACACTGGTGGGGATGAGCTACGATGTAGCCACAGCTGCCCTGGAGTGCACTGACGGAGGCAAGGCTGCCGAGCACTGGCGCCGCCGGTCCCTCCGACCACCACCAGCAGGCAACGTGGGTTAAGTGTCTTGCCCAAGGACACAGCGACAGACTGAGCGGGGCTCGAACCTGCAACCTTCCGATTACGGGGTGAGCACTTAACTCCTGTGCCACCCCCCCCCCCCCCCCCCCCCCAATATAAAAATTAACAAATTTTATTCTGTTGCAAATGAATACAAGTCCTTAGATGGCTACAGCTTGTTTGGGTCTGGATGTGTGGGGCAGATAGTTGACTTTTTATTCTGGGTCCTGCAATGTGGACGGTTCAACTCTCGTCATGGCTGTTAAAATACACCAAAGGCGATGGTTATCAGCTGGGAACCTGTAAAATTCGTCTCTTTGTGCCGCTGCGTGTTAATCTTGCTGATGCATTTTATTTTGCTGCTTTTTAACTCAGTTTATTGATAACTGACAACAACAGTGGTCAGTGGGGGTGTGCCATCTACTTGCCCCTCTGCCAGAAGCTGGGGGGGCGGGAACTTGGGCATGTGACAACACGTGTCAGTGGGTCTATAGACAAGTTCTGTATAGACACAACTGATGTCTGTATTTTCAGCATTTTTATAGCTGATAGAGAAGCCATAGAGGATATCAGAAGGTAGCACAGTTAAGACTTTATTTTAATAGCTTTTTCATGAGTGTGTTATCTTGTCCTGGCTGTATTTTACATTCAACACAATGTTTGATCTATATTAAAAAATGTTTCTAGTCATCAAACAAGTCTCCATTTAGGTTATTTAAAAGCATTAACGGCAGTTATTGACTCTCTGTGGTGATGGAGGGGTGTCCCTCCTAACAAAAGAAAACTCATTAAAGCTTCTGCTTCTCATCCTGCTGAAGTTGTTGGTTCACCTCAAAGCTAACTGCTGCCGCCGTCCGCCTGTAAAATATAGAAATGACATTAGGAGCTTCGCTGCATTCATGAATGAAGATGCTGTTGACGCACAGATGTGACTGTTTGTGAACGAAGGCGTTGTTTTACAAAAAGCAGAATGTCTTTGTGAAGTGACTGTAGGTTCATTCATTCACCGTGCCTGTTGTTGGTTACAGGGCAGTAACGTGGTGGAGGACCAGGATCTGCTGGAAATCGGAATCCTAAACTCGGCTCACAGACAACGTCTGCTGCAAGCCATCCGGCTGCTGCCCAGGGTCAGTGCCACACACCTCAGTCACCAGGCATTTTTACTATAGCTGTAAAATCAGCAGATCTTCTGATTCATCATTATTTCTGTGATATAAGTCGCTGTGGGTGGAAGCATTTCCCTGCATTCTTGAATTATTGAGCCACATGCCAAGAGGATTTAATAATCTACATGCTGCAGCTGCTTGGGACAGAAAAATTATAAAAATTGGAGAAGCTGAAAAATCTCCACTTTCCATCAACAGTTAAAGTTACGCAAATAAAACTTGTCAGAATACCCTGAACTCTGATTTAGAGCTCTGAATGAGGAAATAAAAAGTTAAACGTGTATTTATGCAAACAGCAAAGGGATGAGTAATTTCAGAGAAGACAGAAAATCTCCTTAAAAGTTTTCAAAACAGCATCAAAGCTGAAACCTTTGAACTTCAGTTTCTCTCTCTTTCACACACACACACACACACACACACACACACACACACACACACACACACACACACACACACACACACCTACACCTACTCAGGCATGTAGTCCAACACATCCCAGGTGTGAGCGAAGGTTGTGGGGATCTTGTTTGAAGCAGCTGCTTTGGGTGTCAAAATAGAGTGAATACATTATTAATTGCCTGCCGTACATCATGTACTTGAGTCTGAGTGGTAACCCCACCCCCTGCTGCTGCTGTCTTAGTCAGACCTGTACAGAAAGTGCAGCTTGTTTACTTTACAAACATCAGAGAGAGAGAGAGAGAGACTTTCTGAGTCTGAGATTTGTCTTTCACCAAATGATAATAATTGGATGTAGTTTTTATTATTTCAAAATAAGATGCCTCCAGTTGCTGTGCTCTCTTTTGAATTGTTTTTTAAGCAATAATTCCATTGTGTGTTTTCTTCCTGAAAGGTCCGTCCTGTGGGCTACGATGGCAACAACCCCACGTCGGTGGCAGAGTGGCTGGAGTCTTTGGAGCTCGGCGACTATACAAAGTCTTTCCTCATCAATGGTTACACCTCCATGGAGCTGGTTAAGAAGATCTGGGAGATTGAGCTGATCAACGTGAGTCTCTGAGTATCATCCGTTATCTATGGCTGGAATTACACCAAACCGTTCATTACTGGAAATGGTTCCAAGCAACAATAAAACATTTGTAAGAAAACACTGCTGTCCCAGCTTTTCCAGGAATCTATTTATCCTTTTAAATAGAAGGAATATAGAATTTCAGTCATTATATTAATAAAACAAATCAAAAATGAATGGATGCATTCTGAGATGGATGGATTTATGCTATCTTAGTCAGTTTCCTCTTAAAGCTGGAACCATTTTAAAATAGTCATCACAAACAGATGTGGACAAAATAGTTGGTACCCTTCGGTCAATGAAAGAAAACCCACAATGGTCTCAGAAATAACTTGAATCTGACAAAAGTAATAATAAATAAGTCAGACATTGCTTTTCAACCATGCTTTAACAAAATTATATAAAAAAACTAAACTAATGGAACAGGCCTGGACAAAAATGATGGTACCCCTAACTTCATATTTTGTTGCACAACCTTTTGAGGCCATCACTGCAATCAAACGATTCCTGTAACTGTCAATGAGTCTTCTGCACCTCTCAGCGGGTATTTTGGCCCACTCCTCATGAGCAAACTGCTCCAGTTGTCTCAGGTTTGAAGGGCACCTTTTCCAGGCAGCATGTTTCAGCTAAATGGGACTGAGGTCAGGGCTCGTAGAAGGCCACTTTAGAATAGTCCGATGTTTTCCTCTTAGCCATTCTGGGTGTTTTTAGCTGTGTGTTTGGCGTCATTGTCCTGTAGCGGGACTCATGACCTGTGACTGAGACCAAGCTTTCTGACTCTGGCCAGCACATTTCTGTCTAGAGTCCCTTGATAGTACCTTCATTGCACCCTGCACAGATTCAAGACCCCCTGCATCAGATGCAGCAAAGCAGCCCCAGAACATAACAGGGCCTCCTCCGTGTTTCACAGTAGGGACAGTGTTCTTTTCTTGATATGCTTCATTTTTCTGTCTGTGAACATAGAGCTGATGTCCCTTGGCAAAAAGTTCCATTTTTGTCTCATCTGTCCAAAGGACCTTCTCCCAGAAGCTTTGTGGCTTGTCAGCATGTAGTTTGGCTTATTCCCGTCTGGATTTTTTATGATTTGTTCTCAACAATGTTGTCCTTCTTGGTCGTCTCCCATGTAGTCCACTTTGGCTCAAACAATGATGGATGGTGTGATCTGACACTGATGTTCCTTGAGCTTGAAGTTCACCTTGCATCTCTTCAGAAGTTTTTCTCAGGTCTTTTGTTACCATTCAGATTATCTGTCTCTTTGATTCATCATAAATTTTCCTCCTGCAGCCACGTCCAGGGAGGTTGGCTATAGTTCCATGGATCTTAAATTCCTGAATAATAAGTGCAGCTAGTCAGATGAACTTCTACCTGCTTGGAGATGGTCCTATAGGAAGCCTAAGTCACTTCTGCATCATGGTTCCTCGGAACAATGAAAAAAATGAATGCAAGTCAACAAGGCTAAAACGCTATTGTCTAATCTGCTTTGCCTAATGCCCTGGATCGCACATATGTTGTACTGCAATTTAAATGAAAAGTAACGATGGGTGTTTCAACCACGCCATTCATGTACTTTGAGATTTATTAGCTTGTAAAAGTTCATAATTAGCATGACTACAAACTAAAAATTGGCACATTGCATATATGACGTCACCACATAATCTCCTCTCCCCTAGCGTAGCTGCTACTTACCACATGGCCAGATTTATGGTGGTTCTTTCCTCCTGTGGGAAGTTTGCTGAACTTACAGCCATTTTCTCTCAGTTTTCTCCATGTCTGGTTTGATGATGTCACTTTCGTGAAACGCATTTGTAGTCCTGGACTTATTTTCACACAAAACCTAAAATAACCCCCACCCCGTTCGAAAATACCTTGGTATCAAAATGTGTCTTTAAAATTCACAGACATCATATGTGAAGTCCATGGCACAAAACAAGCAGAATTCTACCTGGAGCCCTATATATAGGCCCACTGGACACACCTTGAATTAACATCTTCCTTTGGCCACACTATTTTCGGATCACAGAAAGTAATTGAGAAACTCTGGACTAAATTAACTCCTTCCTGAGCCGCAGAGGTGCTCTTTCTCTCCTCCAACCCAAACCCAGTTGCTCTCTGATTGGATAGTAAAATTTACGATTGACAAGAAATTGGCCAATCAGGTGAGAGGCAGTAATAATCTGCGAAACTTCATGCTTGCAAGTTTTAAAGTCACATGCAGGTATCTATGTTTATGTTTATGTATTTAGCAGACGCTTTTGTCCAAAGCGACTTACAAGTGATAATCGGCATGTTGCCCTTGAGGCTAACAACAACAATAACAACAACAACATTGACATCAATCATGGAGAGGAGGGAACAAGGAGTGGACGGAGAGGGGGGACGGATGCAGGGAAGGTGCTAGTTAAGATGCTCTCTGAAGAGCAGGGTCTTCAGGAGTTTCTTGAAAATTGAAAAGGAAGCCACTGTTCTGGTAGTGCTTGGTAGGTCATTCCACATTTGTGGAACGATGCATGAGAAGAGTCTGGATTGTCCTGAGCGTGGTGTAGGCACTGCTAGCCGACGATCCTGTGATGACCGGAGCGGCCGGGCCGAGACGTAAGCCTTTGCAAGAGGATTCAGGTAGATGGGAGCCGTACCATCTCGGACTTTGTATGCTAGTATTAGCAATTTGAATTAGATGCATGCTGCTAGCGGTAGCCAGTGGAGCTCAATGAACAGAGGGGTGACGTGAGCTCTTTTTGGCTGATTGAAGACCAGATGTGCCGCTGCGTTCTGGACCATTTGAAGAGGTCTGACAGTACAGCCTGGAAGACCAGTTAGAAGGGAATTGCTGTAATCGAGGCGGGAGATGACAGTAGACTGCACCAGGAGCTGGGTGGCACGTTGTATGTTTGTATCTCATGTCAGTTTTTGCTTTTCTGTAAAAGAAAAAAAGGCCTAACTTTGTAACTTGTTATTCCACAAACACAAATTTTTTTACACATAAATTTGTATCCGTGGAGGCACAAAGCTGTAATTTCTAAGCATATTTTTCCATGGTGACAAAATGCAATGCACAACAACGCAGTCTGACTCTTGAATTTGTGCCCATACGTGTGCCTCCTCAGTTTAGGTTCAAAGAGTCCGAAATTTGAGGCCACTTTGAGATGGGATGGCAACCATCTTGCTAACCTACTGAGATGTAATTAAGACACACTGGGACTAAGAAAATTAGCATTACTGTTGCAGTCGCGTCTTAAGCTTCCCATGTATTTATTATGTGAAGTGCCTTGAGACGACTCTTGTCGTGATTTGGCGCTATATAAATAAACTTGAATTGAATTGAAAGTGTAAGAGATCTGTCTCTAAATTATCTTAAATACAAATTATTGGTGATTTTAACTGTAAGTGTGCAGATCTCAGCTGTTTCTCAGTGGTTTCAAGTGTTAAACTCTTTTCCTAGCAGGCAGCAGGAGTTTTGTTACAGCAGGGTTTTATATAACTGATTTTTTTGTTCTCATCTTTCACCTGGATGACAGACTGAATTTGTTTCTTCGTCTCTATAAACCACAGAGGAGACCCTCGCGTGTCTCTTTCTGCCTTAGTGGAGTTCTTCCGTTTCCCGGGTAAAATGCAGCTGAAGCTGATGTCAGACTTGACTCCACGCCGTGCAGGATGCCCGTCGGGCATTTCGCTTCATTACTGTGAAATGCATCCTGGGAAGGCAAAGGGAGGATGTGCAGATTAGCCTTTATATCATAACCTCACTCTACTTCTCTTTTCCTCTGATATAAGCTAACATGATGACTCTCTCACAGTTCAGTGGTTGGTGTTTGTAAAAGTAGAGTGTTCACAACTGCTCAATGTAAAAATCTATCATTTTGGAAACTAGTAATATAATAAGTTTAGATTTTATGTTGTCACAAGTAATCTGGATCTATTTTCTATTTATACGACATAAAATGTTGACTAGAGATGTAGTGCAGATTGATCTGATCTGAGTGAGGCGCTCCTTTGATGCTGCGAGTTTAACAGAATGACGACGGATTGCAGAGGGAGCGCTGATTTCAGGGAGAGACGGAGCTGGAAGGGTGTTCTTCTTTTCCAGCAGAGGGCAAAATGATGAGTGATTAGCTGGAGGAGGTAGAGATGGAGTTATATAAGCATGTGGGAGGCAAGATGTTTCATCTCGCTGGGGAAACCACCCACTCGCTGAACTGCTGCTCACTGTGCGTGTGTGTGTGTGCGCGTGTGTGTGTTTCTCTGAATGCATATGTGAGATAGAAAAGTGTTGATACATGTATTATTCCTGTGTTCATTTATTAATTCTTTCATTTTTAATCACAACATAAACCAACCATCAGGCTCTTCTGCTTGGACAGGACAACAACAAAAGCTGTTGTCTACAACATGCACGTACAAATATAAATATTTATTTAAAAACTGACTGTCTTTTGTTGGAAATGATTCATAAAAGCTTCTGCAATTAAAACTAAAGCCACTAGAGGCTGCACAAGCATTATGGATAAACAAATCTGGTATTGCTTTTTTATATATTAAAATCCTGCAGCTTGAATTTGTTTATTTATTTATTATGATGTCCATTGTAACCATTTTCATCATATTTTCACCTAATTGTAATTGATTGTCTTTTTTACTTATTTATTTTAAATCCAAAAATATTGAACACAGAAAAATAAATAAGCACAAATATTTGAATCAAAATGGAACTCTGTAGAAAGATAAATAGATTACTGAGGGTCCTGAATATAAACTGTACATACAACTAGTCATGTTACTGAAATTAGACCTTCTTATAATGTTTTCACACATTTAATCCGTGTTGGTGGCCTGAGGATCAGGTCTCTGCTGTTTGCTGATGATGTGGTCCTGTTGGCTTCATCAGAACGTGATCTTCAGCTTTTGCTGCCGAGTGTGAATCAGCTCCTCTAAATCTGAGACCATGTTCTTGATTGGAAAAGGGTAGAATGCCTTCTCCGGGT